GAAGCGCTTAACGAAAGGTGAAAAGTTGAGTGATGTGCACCAAGAAAAGTGATGTGGAATAGAGAATGGTCATATAATCAGTAATTTGTCACGCACCTTCAAGCTGGGAGTAGATGTTTCTCATGCCCAACTTGATGTAATGCTGTTGAAAGAGCTGAGAAGGTAGGGGTTTTGTGAAGAGGTCAGTGGCTTGAAGAGAAGACACGATAGGCAGGAGCTTGATCAAACCACGATTGATTTTTTCACGTATAATGTGGCAGTCGATCTCTATATGTTTTGTTCATTCGTGGTAGACCTAGTTTGAAGCAATTTGTACGGCAGACCTGTTGTCGCAATAAAGGGTTGCAAGTGAAAGTGGAGGGATTTGTAAGTCTTTGAGAATTACAAGAGTGCGATATTCAGCTTCGGTGGAGCTACAAGAGTCAGTATGTTGTTTTTTAGATTTCCATTAAACGAGGAGTTGCCAAGATATATGGAAAAGCCAGTGATGGATTTCCGTGTTTTTGGACAAGTGACTATAACCTTGTAATTGGAGGGTGGTCTTGCTGTGGAAAAAGATATCATTGCCAGGAGCCTTTTTGAGATATCGAAGAACACGATAGGCTGCTTGCTGATGTCGGGTCGAGTATTTGTGAGATAAATTAGACATCAAATATGCATGCGATAGGAGGAGCATCGTCATCGTTTAAAGGTTGTATAGTCGTATGAAGTTAGGAAGAATGAGCCATAGGATTCTGAGCATTCCACTATGATTTTGAGCCACTTCGAATCTGAGGAAGTAAGTGAGATTACCACGGTTTTTTATTAGAAAGTTGGAATGAAGAAGAGCAGTGATGGTCGTGATTTCCTCGACATGGTTGTCCGTGATGACGATGTCATCCACATACACAAGAATAGCAGTGGGGTGTAGTTATTATTATGTTTAAAAAATGAGTGATCAACTTAGGAACAAGTATAGAGATTGGAAATTAGAAATTGAGAAATTTTATAGTACCATTGATGACCAACTTGTTTCAAGCTATACAAAGAATGTTGGAGTTTGCAGACTTCGTTGGATTTTTGAGCAGGGTAGCCTAGAGGGAGTTTCATGTAGACTTCTTCGTGAAGATCCCCATGAAGAAAAACGATGTTTACATCTAACTGTTTGATAACCCAATTCTTGGAGGTGGTGATGGCAAGAAGAAGTCTCAGGGTAGTTAGTTTAGCAACTGGTGCAAAAGTGTCTAAACAAGCAAGACCCTCAATGGACATCAGAGTTGTATTCGATTTTATAGACCCAGCAATATCCAATGGCAGTTTTTCAGGAGGTAAATCAATGGTGATCCAGGTATTGTTGTCTTGCAGAACTTTTAGTTCATCATTCATAGCTTGGACCCATTGAGGATCTTTGGAAGCTTGAGCATAGTTTTGTGGCTCAGTAGCAGCGGTGATGGACATGATGGTGTGTTTAAAAGAATCAGAGAGATTAGTATATTAGAGATAATTATCAATAGGATATCTGACAATAATGTTGGTGTGAAAATCATGAAGATAGGTGGTTACCTTTTTGGTTCTGAGAGATCGCCTTGATTGTGTAGGAGGGATCTTCTAAGTAAGAGCAGTATCAGTGTTGTCGGTGTGAGGAATATCGGCATCATTATCACTGGTAGCGATGTCAGTGTTGGTTGTATCATTAGCTGTGGAAGTGGTGGTATCAGGAAAGGGAAAAGAGGATTCAAGGTTGCCATAATCATTGTTGTAGTTTGCAGGTATAGGTAAAGATAAAGAATTGTTGTCATGAGAAGTACTACTTTGAACGTGGTAAGGAAAATGAGTTTCATAGAAAACAATATTGCGATAAACTTCAATTTTTTGGTCGTTTAAATTGAGATATAAGTAACCTTTAGTATTGGGTCTGAAACCCAAAAAAGTACCAGATATGGCTCTGCGATCAAACTTTTTTCGGTGAAGATTGAGATTATTGACATAGCAAAGACAAGCAAAAGTATGTAAAGATGAAAGATCACAAAGACAACCATATAAACGTTCATGGGGAGAATCATTGTTGAGCAGGGGAGTTGGCATGCAATTGATAAGAAAAACAGCATGTTGAGTAGCAAAACAGCAGAAAATGTTAGGAACATGGGAATGATAAAGAAGAGAACGAGTCACATTGAAGATATGTTGATACTTATATTTTACAATACCGTTTTGCGCAGGGGGTGTAAACACATGAGAAACTGAGGGCCATTATCAGTTCCTATTGTTTCAATGACAACATTAAATTGAGTTTCAACTTTAGCAATAAAGTAGTAATATGTTTTCTGATAGCAGATTTTTCATTCATGGGAATAATCCAAGTGAAATGGGAACAATGATCAACTATGGTTAGAAAATATCGAAAACCATTGATGGAAATATTACAAGGCCCCAAATGTCCATATGAATGAGATCAAAGTTATGTGAAGCATAGGAAAGATTGGTTGGGAAGTGGAGTTTTCTTTGTTTTGCCTTATGGCAAGCATCACAGAGACAATTTTAATCAGAAGCAATGTAGTTGTATTTTTCATGAAGAATACTCAATCTTTCATTAGATGGATGACCTAAACGAGAGTGTCAAATATTTATGATTTTAGATATACACACAGAATGTTTAGTATTGTCAAGAAAATCACTGGAATTAAACATGTACAAGCCAGCTTGCATCCTAACTAAACCAATCTTCTCGTTGGTTCTCATGTCCTGTATAACACTGCCAGAAGAAGAGAAAATAAGATCACAGTAAAGAGAAGCACCGATTTTAGAAACAAAAACAAGATTAAAAGAAAACTATGGTACATATAAAACATTGTCTAGTTTGAATTTGTTGTTAAAGACTACAGTTCCAATATAATGAGCCCAGACAACATTTCCATTAGGAAGGTTAATTTGAATGGGTTTTATCTTTTTATAAGAGGAGAAATCGCATTTGGAGACACAAATATGATCAGTGGCCTCGGAATCGATGATTCAAACATGATTGGAATTATTAGAGTGGAAAATGGAGTGAACGTTACCAGTTATGGAATTGTTGGAAGAGGAAGAACCAATTTGGTTGATTTGGACAGTTGAATTAGAAGTCATTCTTGAAAAGCTAAGCAAGAATTTGATACTGTTGCGGAGTCAGGCAATGCTGTCGTTTTCATGCAGATCTTTGGTAGAAGAATGATCATCTTGTGCATAAACATTATGAACACGAGGCTTCTTGGTTCGATGAAGAGGATGGTCTGGACCCATGTTTTTTATAGCAGATATCAACAATGTGTCATGTTCTATTACAGTCGGTTCATATCTTTTTACTATTTGAATTCTTGTAGGATCTACTTTCTTGCTGCCATGGTAGCAAAGAAAACAAAAAGAAGGAAAAAGAAAGAACAACAAGAAAGAGAAAAAGAATAACAAGAAAGAAAAAGAAAGAACCTCATGTACGTGCATCATGTTCTTGAAATTAGAAAGACAAGAGGGGTTGCACAGTGTGTTCATGGTTTAAGGCAAAACAGAGAAGAGAAAACGAAAATGAATTGATACAAAAACACTTTAATCATAAGAAAATAAATAGTCACTAGAACGTATTATCAAGGTAGACTAGGTATTGATGCAAAAATCCTGTTAATTAATTTTAACTAAATATTGCCTCGTTATTAACCAAATATTGTCGTTTTCAGTTGTTATATTATTTTATTCTTTATTGATTGATGGATTAATTAATTTTTAAACCTTCACAATAAGCTAATAAAGTAGATAATTAAAAGTATGATTTCTTAATAACCATAGGGAGCGCTGCATCTAGCAACCTACGTTTATTATTATTTTTACAAGTATGATTTCTTTTATCTCATCCATGACGATAGAATAATTAGTTTATAGGAAAAACCATAACTAAAGTATCTAACCGATAAAGTAAATATTAAATCATTTCTTTTTATAACATGTACTTAAAACTAATACATATACACGTAGAATACATTATTTAAAACTAACATATACATACATACATTACCTAACATATATATATATATATATATAATATATATTAGATATATATATATATATATATATATATATATGTTAGTTTTTATTCAAGTTTTGGAAAAAAATTTAACAGAGATTTTGATATCGTCTTTTAACGGATTTTAAAGGATCTTTTTTAATAAATTTTGAAATTCATTGAACACATTTGGAATGGTGATGATCCAGGACTTGTTGTCTTGCATATGGCGTTTAGTTCATCATGCTTGCACCCATTGAGTATCTTTGGAAGCTTAAGCATAGTTTTGTGGCTCAGTAGCAGCGGTGATGGACATTATGGTGTGTTTAAAAGAATAAGAGAGATTAGTATATTGGAGATAATTATCAATAGGATATCTGACAATAATGTTGGTGTAAAAATCATGAAGATATGTGGGTACCTTTTTGGTTCTGAGAGACCGCCTTGGTTGTGTAGCATAGATCTCCTCAGTAAGGGCAGTATCAATGTTGTTGGTGTGAGGAATATTGGCATCATTATCACTGGTAGCGGTGGAAGGGGTGTAAACACATGAGAAACTCAGGGCCATTATCAGTTCCTATTGTTTTAATGACAACATTAAATTGAATTTCAACTTTAGCAATAAAAGTAGTAATATGTTTTCTGACAATAGATTTTTCATGCATGGGAATAATCCAAGTAAAATGGGAACAATCATAAATTATGGTTAGAAAATATCGAAAATAATTGATGGAAATATTACAAGGCCCCTAAATGTCCATATGAATGAGATCAAAGTTATGTGAAGCATAGGAAAGACTGGTTGGGAAGTGGAGTTTTCTTTGTTTTTCCTTAAGGCAAGCATCACAGAGATGAATTTTATCAGAAACAATGTAGTTATATTTGCCATGAAGAATACTCGATCTTTCGTTAGATGAATGACCTAACCGAGAGTGCCAAATATTTATATTTTTAGAGATACACACAAAATGTTCAATATTGTCAAGAAAATAATTGTAATTAAATATGTACAAGCCAGCTTGCATCCTAACTAAACCAATCTTCTCGTTGGTTCTCATGTCCTGTATAACACTGCCAGAAGAAGAGAAAATAAGATCACAGTAAAGAGAAGCACCGATTTTAGAAACAAAAACAAGATTAAAAGAAAACTATGGTACATATAAAACATTGTCTAGTTTGAATTTGTTGTTAAAGACTACAGTTCCAATATAATGAGCCCAGACAACATTTCCATTAGGAAGGTTAATTTGAATGGGTTTTATCTTTTTATAAGAGGAGAAATCGCATTTGGAGACACAAATATGATCAGTGGCCTCGGAATCGATGATTCAAACATGATTGGAATTATTAGAGTGGAAAATGGAGTGAACGTTACCAGTTATGGAATTGTTGGAAGAGGAAGAACCAATTTGGTTGATTTGGACAGTTGAATTAGAAGTCATTCTTGAAAAGCTAAGCAAGAATTTGATACTGTTGCGGAGTCAGGCAATGCTGTCGTTTTCATGCAGATCTTTGGTAGAAGAATGATCATCTTGTGCATAAACATTATGAACACGAGGCTTCTTGGTTCGATGAAGAGGATGGTCTGGACCCATGTTTTTTATAGCAGATATCAACAATGTGTCATGTTCTATTACAGTCGGTTCATATCTTTTTACTATTTGAATTCTTGTAGGATCTACTTTCTTGCTGCCATGGTAGCAAAGAAAACAAAAAGAAGGAAAAAGAAAGAACAACAAGAAAGAGAAAAAGAATAACAAGAAAGAAAAAGAAAGAACCTCATGTACGTGCATCATGTTCTTGAAATTAGAAAGACAAGAGGGGTTGCACAGTGTGTTCATGGTTTAAGGCAAAACAGAGAAGAGAAAACGAAAATGAATTGATACAAAAACACTTTAATCATAAGAAAATAAATAGTCACTAGAACGTATTATCAAGGTAGACTAGGTATTGATGCAAAAATCCTGTTAATTAATTTTAACTAAATATTGCCTCGTTATTAACCAAATATTGTCGTTTTCAGTTGTTATATTATTTTATTCTTTATTGATTGATGGATTAATTAATTTTTAAACCTTCACAATAAGCTAATAAAGTAGATAATTAAAAGTATGATTTCTTAATAACCATAGGGAGCGCTGCATCTAGCAACCTACGTTTATTATTATTTTTACAAGTATGATTTCTTTTATCTCATCCATGACGATAGAATAATTAGTTTATAGGAAAAACCATAACTAAAGTATCTAACCGATAAAGTAAATATTAAATCATTTCTTTTTATAACATGTACTTAAAACTAATACATATACACGTAGAATACATTATTTAAAACTAACATATACATACATACATA